TTGGGGTCGGGGTGGGGGGGGGAAGGTGTCCTCGACAGCCCAGGTCAGATCCCAGCAGCACGGCCACGCAGGTGTCGCTGCTGAGCCCCGCAGGGCACCGGGACCCCCGGGACCCCCAGCTTGGCAAACTTTGGCACTACCACGATCGCTTCCAGCCTGGCTCAGCCCAGTGCTGTGGGGCTGGAAACTGGCCCCAGGGCTGGGGTGGGGGCAGCAAAGGGGAGTGGGGCAGTTTGGGAGCTGCCATGGCTCTGCCACGAGCGGCATGCAAGGAAGCATGACCCCTCTCTGTCCCCACTGGGCTGTCACCCCCCAGGCCAAGCCTGTGGTCCCCAGGCCATGGAGGGGACGGGGACATGGGGAGGGACAAACTGAGCACCGCAGAAGCTGGTGGGGAAGGAGTCCTCTAAGGAAGAGCAGGGGCTGGGACACGAGAGGGAAAGATGCTCCGTGGGGACCACTGTCCCTGTCCCCTGTGCCTGCATCCCTCCTTCCTCCACAGCTCCTGCCCAGCCCCATGGCCCCAGGGCCACCCTTGGGCAGAGGTTTGTCACCCAGCCCCAAGCCCCTGGGGCACCCAAATGGGTCCCCACAGGCAGCAGGATCCAGCCCTGTGTGCTGGTAGTGGGGTTTGCTTATTGCCTATGTCCCCACGGGTTGCTCTTCCCGGGGGTGTTGCATATTAAGACATTATTGCATAAATATATATATATATATCTCTCCTATATATATATTGCCCTGGGAGCATGCACGGGCAGGCAGAAGACTCTGCTGTGCTTCTAGAGGTGCAGCCCTGCGAGCAGGGAAACAACCTGGGCAGAGGAGGGTGATGGGGGACAGACCCCTGCTCCCCCGGCCGGGGGGGCTCCTGCTGCTGCCCTGACCTGGAGCGACGCAGGTGAAACCGCGCTGGGTTGTGCCCCAATGCCCCTGCTCGGCCCCGGCGGCGGGAGGGAGATGGAGCCTTGCATAGCTGGCGGTGGCCCTGGCTTGGCTCGGGGGGACCAGGTAGGACCCCACTGGGCAGCTGGACTTGTCCTGAGGGCTGGGGTTGGGGGTACGAGCCAAACCCCAGGGGCCAGGGCCAGCCTGGAGCATCCCTGCTGTGGCTGGGGAGCACTAAAGGCCCCAGGAGCTGGGGAGTCCCCCCACCCAGGAAGGGCAGGAGCATCCCTGGATTGTGGTCTGGCCACGCCGCAGTGCCACGGGCTCCCACCGCACCCCCAGAGCGGGCACCCCACTGCAGCCGCGTCCCCACAAAGAAAGACTTGGTTCAAGTAAGAGGGCGAGGGACGCGGCTAGACGGGGCCAGGCGATGCCATGCGGCTCCCACGTCCTGGCATCCCGTCCCACTGGCTGCATGCCGGTAGGATCCATCCCGCTGCCTCCCCACTCAGTCCATGTTGGCACTGGCCGACCTGGAGATGCTCAGGGTCTGGGCAGAGACCGAGATGTCCTCGTGGTCCACAGGGCTGTGGTAGTCGGAGGTGATGTCGGGCTCGCAGGGGGGCACCTGCACGGCGGCCAGGCTGAAGGAGTTCGTGGAGCCCTTGCGGAGGCACTGGGAGTAGAGGCCGAGCAGCAGGTCCAGCTTGTGCTCGATGGACTGCACCTGCAAGGGTGGGCAGGGCTGAGCGGGTCCCTCCCCACGGGGAGGGGACCTGGGGGTCCCGGCTCCCCCATCCTGCAGGTGCCGAAGGGATGGTGACATGCTCCCCGGTGGCCATCCCCTCCTGACCTGCCGCTCCACTTTGACCACGCGACCCATCATGCTGAGCTCGTCCACCAGCTCCGGCTCCAGCGCCGGCTTCTCCCCCTTCTCCCGGATCTTCTTGTCTGCAGCAAGGGCCCCCCTGCCCACGATCTGGTCCACGCTGGCAGGGAGGGAAGGGACACAGCCCATCACTCACAGCGGACCAGAGGGAATCCCACAAGGGATGGGGATGGGGCTCTGGGAACACGGCCCACCCATCGCGATGGGCCAGCACCCCTCCCAGCAGGCATGGCTAGTGGTGGGAGACCCAGGGGAGCCCAGAGCCCCCTGCCACCTTCGGGGCAGCTCACCGCATCTGCAGGCTCTTGATCCTGCCCAGCATGTCCAGGTGGCCGGCTGAGTACTGCTCGATGACGTCCTTGACGTCGTAGGGACGCAAGGTCTCCTTGAACTTCCTCTTGGCCACCAGGAACTTCAGGATCCTGCAGGGACACCCAGGCTGGCTGCAGGGCACTGGGGAGGACTGGGGGTGCCCGGGGGCCCCGCGCCAGGGGGATGAAGGGGGTAGTGCATGCAAAGCACCAAGGTCCTGATCACTGAGCCCATGGGAGGCTGAGCCAGGAGCTGTCCCTGCTCTCTGCCTGGCTTGGCCACTGCCATGGGCTGGCCAAGGGACCTGGGCTCTCCGGACACGTCCGCTCATCCCCAAGGGCTGAGAGCTGCGGAGGAGCTGGGGAGAGGAGCGTTGGGGGACGCCAGAGGGGACGGTCTCACCTGACAGCCCGGATGAGGGTCTTCACCGCTGGCATGATGTCTTCGAAGGTCAGGTCACAGTGGGAGCTCTTCTCCTCACCGCTGTCCTCCGGTGGGCAGTCGGCTGTGGGTGCAAGAGTGGGTGGGTGGCAGAGACCGAGGGCTGCCCCCAAAACACCTGTAGCCCCCCCCCAGCATGACCCCATGGCTGGATCCAGACCCCTGCCAGCCCCCAGGGCTTACCTTCGACTGGGGTCCGTGGCTTGAGCCTCAGGGACGCACGGAAGCGTGTCCGGTCGTTGAAGCTCCAGCTCTTCTGCACCTTGCTGGGGCTGGAGGCCTCGGGGACGTCCTCGGTGCTGGGGGAGCGGTGCAGGGGGGGCCCCAGGTGCTGCCTGCCCCGGCTGCCCTGCCGCTGCGTGCTGCCCAGGCGGATGCGGTCCCTGATGCCCATCTTTTTGCTGGATCG